GGGGGGGGGGGGGGGAGGACATGTCACAAATCATTCATATTTATAAGATACAAGTATACCTTTGTATTGAAGTAAAATAGTGTTTTTGAACCTCAGCATTATGTGCTTTTTGTACTTTAGTTCATGTGATTTTGAATGTATCTATATGCATTAAAAGCTGTGAATTCACCACTCATGGCCCAGTCACACGTGTCTGTCTTTCTGCAGTACCATAGAGAGTAAGTCACCAGCACACCAAAATCTTCATCACCAAAATGTCTTTACTTGACGTTGGTTAATCATGAAATCACAGGAAAAAAGTGACGTTTCAGGACCACGCAGGATAACTTCATCAGGTAATGTGATGAAGGAACCTTACATAGTCCCAAAACATTGCTTTTTTTCTGTGATTCCATGATCAACCACAGTCAAGTAAAGGCGCTTTGATGATGAAGATTTTGGTGTACTGGTACTCACCATGTCAGCCTTTTCCAACCAGGGTGGCACACCAGGGTGAATTCTGGCTTCCTTAGGGGTGCCTCAACATTTTCTGTTGGTAGGACCTTGATGTGAAAGAAGGACTCTGATGTAAAAGGGAGGATTCCAATATGAAAGGAGGGCTCTGATGTGAAGAGGGCTTCTGATGTGAAGAGGGTCCCTGATGTGAAGGGGGGCTTCTAATGTGAAAGGGAGATTCTGATGTGAAAGAGGGGCTCCTGATGTGAAGAGGGCTCCTGATGTGAAGGTGGGCTTCTGATGTTAAGAGGGCTCCTGATGTGAAGGTGGGCTCCTGATGTGAAGAGGACTCCTGATGTGAAGGTGGGCTCCTGATGTGAACTGGGCTTCTAATGTGAAAGGAAAGGTTTCTGATGTGAATGGGGGGCTTTAATGTGAAGAGGGCTCCTGATGTGAAGGGGGGGCTCTGATGTGAAAAGGAGGATTCTCATGTGAAAGGGGGGCTCTGATGTGAATGGGGGCATCTGATGTGAAAGAGGGGCTCTGATGCGAAGGGAGGAATTCCTCTTTTTCTGTGTGTTTTCGCATGGGGTCCACCTTACATTTTAGACTGGGGTGCCTCGCCATTTTGCATATTTTTTAAGGG